AGAATGGGCAGTGACTGCTAAACAATACGAGCTTTCAGCCCTGGCTGGTTTAGCTCAGCGGTTAGAGTGTTGGCCCGCAGACCAATGAGTCGTGGGTTACATTCCAGTCAAGGGCACATACCTTGGTTGCAATTTGTCCCCGGCCCTGATAGTCGTGCGGGAGGCAACCAGTCGATATGTTCCTCTCACATTGATGTTTTTCTCCCTCTCTTCCTCTCTCTCCTTCCCACTCTATCTGAACAAAAATGGAAAAATATCCTCAGTGAGGATTTAAAAAAACAAAAACAAAAACAAGGTTTCTTTTTGGAGAGATGAAAATATTCTGAAATTAGATATAATGGTAATGGTTACACAAGCTTGTGAATAAACTAAAACCTACTGAACTGTGCACTTTAGAATGGTGAACTTTATGGTATGTGAATTATATCTTGAGGGTAAACTAGGCCCATTTATATTGGGAAGGTCACTGTAAGGAGAACAAATCAGAGGTTGAAGTGAGAAATACCTTAACAATTGTACATGTGAAAAAGGCTTCAAAGGGTGTGACCTGGACCACATCCAAGGACCTAGCTCCCTTTTTCACCCACCGTGGTGGTAGCAGAGGGTAGAGCCTTGGACTGTCCATGGTGCTGACCTCAGGGATTTAGTTCTTCTAAACCTTTCTGAGAATTTACTTTCCTTAAGGGCTCTTTTCCATCTTCATCTTGGTCCTATAATCAGCGCCCCTGAAGAGCTTATCATGGTGCATCTGATGCAACAGTTCGCACACTTTTTAATGACTCCCATTGCTCTTGCCCTCAGCAGCTGGAGCCCAGCTCCAATTCACAGGTTAGGTCTAAATGTCGTCCCCCGAGGCATGTCCCTTCCCTTAAGGCCAACCCTACATGTGTTCCTGGTCTTTGAGAGGCCAGAAAAATAAAACTGCAGGAGAAGGGTGGCTCTAGGTCCACCTGGACACTTTGGGCTGGAGGTAGGTGATGGCCCCAATGTCCTTCCCATGGACAAGTCAGCACCTGCCAAAGCCTATGATAAGCATGGAGTGGATGGTAGGTATGGGGAAGTCACTGGGCAAGAAGCTGGGGGACAGGATTTGGGGAACAGTTGCTTTTGTTTGGAATTAAGACTTTTGTCTGTAGTGGCTTATGTGTTGGGTGGAATTTAGGGCAGAGGGTGGGAGGGAGAGCAGAATATAGATGCAACTGGTTTCTTCCCCACCTCTCACATACAATCTAGAGCTTCTTCCCACACCCAGGAGAAAACAAACCAAGCCTTTCTCACACTTACCACCCTCTAATGTTTCCCTTTTAATCCTCTTTTATTCCTCCACCTTCTTCCTTCTCCTGCCTCCTGCCTCTCCCACTCACTTCATGTTTTTATTCCTTCTCTATTGCTATCCCTTTATCTTATACTTCCTTAAATCTTGCATTTAATAGAACCTGTTAATACTCCCAAGATGACCACCAACTAGATTCACTCCCATTTTGGGAACCACTTATTCCTCCTCCCCTCCTCTCAGTCCTGTGTGGACTGATTTTCTGAGAGCAGGACAGATGGAAGACAAGATTGAGTAACAACAGAAAGGGGCCTGGGATCCTTCCTTTACCCCATGCGTATCATGTCCCCCTTTTTTATGTCTCTCTGTTTTTTTTTCCCATCTAGAATCCCTCTCAATCTATTCTCTGTGAGGGTAGGTGGGAGAATCATTTCCAAATATTCTTATGAGTGTGTAGAAAGAATGCTGGCCATGCTAAGATGATGCTTCTAGTTTCATAAATCTGGGAATTAGGTGATGCTGGGAATTAGGATCTGTGGGTTCCCTTCAAGGTCCCTTAAACTGAACCCTTCCACACTATGGCTCTCCATCTCCTCTCACCTCTCTCAGTGTTCTGACCCATCGTGGTGCCCCATCCACTATGAAAATATCAAGCATTCTTTTGGGAAACATCTATGAGAAAGATTATGTGTGCACCAGGAACTGTGTAGCACTACACTTACCAGATTTACATTGAATTGCAAACACATGTGAAGTGACGGAGCCATCCTTATGGAAAAACACCACTGCATGGCAGTGCATGGAAGAGCTCATTACTCTTGGGCCTTGAAGGAAGGGTAGAATTCAGATCGGTGAACAGGACGGGAAGGCAATCAAGTTGCGCATTAGCCTGACTAAAGGAACCGAGAGCTGAGGAACCGAGGAGCTCAGTTTGGTTGAAGCCAAGGAGTCTTAGAGGGGAGAAAGGAGAAAGAGAATTACAATTAAGAGTGCAATTCTGGGACTCATCAGACCTGGTTCGGAGTCTGAGCTCTGCTATCCACTCTCTGTGTGACCCGGACACATTATTTAACTGTTTTATCCCTCAGTTTACTTATCTGTAAAGTGAGGATAAATAATGGTACTTACAATATTTTATAAGCATCAGAACAACGTATGAGAAGTAAACAGGAAAATGCTTACAGAATGCTTAGCATAGGGCCTAGTACATAGTAAACACTCAATAAATGTTTACTACTACAATGACCACAATTACTACCACTAACTATAAATGTTTTACTGCTTTTACTACCCCCAAGTGGCAGATGGGTCTGCAAAGGAGGGTAGGAGCCAGCTTGTACAGAAGTCCCTGAAAATCTGTCTAAGTGTGAATTATTTCCTGTAGACAATAAAGAAGCTTGATTTTTTTCTTAAGGAAATTAACAGTCAATTTTATTGGGTTCAGACCAGGAGTCCCTGGGTATTGAGAACTTCTATATTTGTCCATTTTCCTCCTCTATGTTCTTTTGGGCCTATTGCATAGCCTCAATGAGCTGTTTTTTCTTCCAGTTATAAATCTTGGCCTTCTTCCTCTTCTCCAGAGTCGCTGTGACTGCCCGGTACTTCCAGCCAATCTCATGAGCCCGGGGCCCTAGGTAGGCAAACTTTCATGTCGGTTGAGACGCACAGCTTGGAGGGCAGCAGGAACCACCATTGGCTTTTCCTCTTCACTGGGCGGCAGAATTCCACTAACACCCCGAGGTGGTCCCGGGAGGCCAGGCCTCACTCCTCTGCCAAAAGATGCGGCCGGGGGCTGGGCGGTGGTAGGAGCTGTGGGATGGGATGGCGCTCATCTGTTTGCTGAGGAGGGCCGGGTACTTCAACTGTTTCTGTAGAAACTGCCAGAAAGTTGATGCCCTCACAGTGTGCATCTCTGACTGATAAAGACGTTTGAAAGAGTTTGATAGTTGTAATCTTAATACAGACAAAGATAAAAACAGAGATAATAAAGCTATTCTGTTGGTATTTTAGGCATCAACCACCAGGTGGGAGAGTTGGGGTAAAGGGTTAGGGGTCAGGGGATTTCTCAGAGAGGCCAAACCATGCCATTTAAACTGCTTCTCCCCCACCTCCCCACCCTCCAGTCTCACCTCCACACGGACATAAAGCCAGACACAAAGACGCATTACCCTCTGTCGGGGTTGCTCTGACAACCGCCAAGAAAGTGTCTGCTCCACTCTTGCCTGTCTCGGGGCTTCCTGCCCTGGTGGGCTAGGACAAGCCCGTCACAACCCTGTATCATCACGTCATTTTCCTTCCAAGGCTTCTGGGTTCTCAGTTGCCCATGGAGATGCTTTTCAAATGGTCTTATGCTGGGAGCCAGCCAAGCTGCAGAATAAACAGAGTGCCTCTTCCTGGAACGTACATTTTACACAAACATTTAGGATAAATGTGAGTTTTAGATGAGATAAGCATGGCAAGATTTTGAGTACTATAATACTTCACAGGTAGTTTTAGAGATGATCCTGCTTTCTATTTGTCTATAGAAGTTGATGGAAATGTTTGGCATATGTTTATTCAATTCTCTTGAAAAAGAACATCCGTGCAATCCTGCTGTGCCGCCCACGGATCAGGAGGGGGCGGGGAGGGAAGATCTTTCTATGTTCTATTGTCTTCCTGGGGCAGGGGCTGAGCACATTTTCTTAAGCAATTAAACGATTTTGGAAAAGTGTAACCCAAGAGAATGGGTATGAACACCAAAGAACTCACAGTTTATATTTTATTTTATTTTATTTATTTATTTATTTATTTACTTATTTGTGGTATGTGCCCCTAGTGGGAACCGAACCCAGAACTCTCTAGTCCACAGGTTGATGCTGAACCGCTGAGCCAAACTGGCCAGGGCTCAGTTTATATTTTAAGTGAATGTCTTCTTGCTGAAAATGTTTCTTCCCTATTCTGTATTTTACATAATACTTTTGGACTTATCAAAGTTTTAAAAGCCACAACACTTATAAACAAACAAAAAACCCTTCCCAAGGTTTTCCAGAGATACAATAGAAAATTCACTTAAATTTTAAAATAGAAAACATGAGAGTTCAAGGAAATTTTGCCTTTGTCCTGGGCTGCATTGAGTTCCCCCTGTAGGTGGCCCCATGATGACAAATGCCGTTAGAGAAATATTTCTGTGGGAAAGTTTGAGAAACGTAATCCTTCTTGCTTTACTACAGCCCAGATCATCTGCTTGTTTTCCTTCATATTTGTCTCTGAATTTGTCCAAGATGATTTCGTCTAAGGCAGACCTCTCTTCCCTCAACAATGACCCATTTGAAACCCCTCAAACTGTGAAGAAGCATCTATTGGTTTATTTAAAAGTATTACTCTCTACTTTTCATACTGTCAAGATTTTTGCACCTAGGTTGATGATATTTGTGGTCACAGGTACTTGCTGGCATGTTTATTGATTGATTTAACTGTATTTGGGGAGCCCTTGGTTCACAAGGCACATATTGGATATGGCAGGTATGAATCAGACATGAAACCCGTGGACAAGGACAGCATGGTTCAAAGGGAAAAAGACCCATAAATGCCTGTGACACAATGTAGGGTGTGGTTAGGGAGGTAAGTCTGTGAGAGCCTTGAAAATGTGTTTACCTCCATGGAAGGCTCCCCTACGCTTCATCTTGAAATGATACAGAATATTGTTGAGTTTTCATGATTTTTGTTTTGCAGGTTTCTCCCTAGGAATGTGGGGAAGATCCCATGGAACCACAGAACATCACCTGGGTGTCAGAGTTTGTGCTCTTAGGCTTCTCTCAGACCCAGGAGCTCCAGAAATTCCTGTTCCTGGTGTTTCTATTTTTCTATGTCATCACTGTCGTGGGAAACCTTCTGATCATAGTCACAGTGACTTCTGACTCCCGGCTTCACATGCCCATGTATTTTCTGCTTCGAAATCTGGCTGTCATAGACCTCTGCTATTCCACAGTCACCTCTCCAAAGATGCTGGTGGACTTCTTCCACGAGACCAAGACTATCTCCTACCAGGGCTGCATGGCCCAGATCTTCTTCTTCCATCTCTTGGGAGGTGGAACCGTCTTCTTTCTCTCAGTGTTAGCTTATGATCGCTATATAGCTATTTCCCGGCCCCTCCACTATGTCACCATCATGAATACTCAAGTGTGTGTGGGGCTTGTGGTGGCTGCCTGGGCAGGGGGCTTTGTCCACTCCATTGTTCAGCTGGCTCTGATGCTTCCCTTGCCTTTTTGTGGTCCCAATGTCCTGGATAACTTCTACTGCGACATTCCACAAGTGTTGAGACTTGCCTGCACGGACATCTCCCTCCTAGAGTTTCTAATGATCTCCAACAGTGGGATGCTGGTTCTTGTCTGGTTCATCCTCCTTCTGATCTCTTACACAATCATCCTGTTGATGCTGAGGTCCCACTCCGGACAGGCAAGGAGGAAGGCCGCTTACACCTGCACCACCCACATCATCGTGGTGTCTATGATCTTCATTCCCTGTATCTACATCTACTCCCGGCCCTTTACTCCCTTCCCCATGGACAAGGCCGTGTCTGTCAGCTACACAGTCATGACCCCCATGCTCAACCCCTTGATCTACACCCTGAGAAACCAGGAGATGCAGGCGGCCATGAAGAGGTTAGGCAAGCGCCTGGTGATTTGCAACAAGGAGTGAACTTTAATAGGCCGACACTAAATGACAAACTTCTCTCCGAACATTTGTTTTCCCTTGTGAAACTGGAGGAAAGTCTTTATAGGATGTGACAATTAAGATTAAATTAATATTTCTACGGACCTACTGTGTCAGATACGGTGTTAGGCACTTTCACAGTTTTATCTCATTCTCATAAAACTGACAATGAATATATTATTTTTATATAACACAGTTTTACAAGTGAAGAGACTCAGAGAGAAATGACTTGGTCAATAATGGGCAGCAAGTGAGTGGCAGAGGTTGGCTGAGCACGCGGGTCCTCTGAATCCAAGTTTAGAGGCAGGAGATATGTATGGATTTGAAACTCAGGCTCTTCTACAACCACAAGGGAAAACCTAGAGGGTTCCTCATCTAAGGATCAATATCTGTGATAAATGGTCAACAGTGTCATCTTAGCTCTGCAACAGTCACACCCTTTTCTGGTCCTTGCCCCTCCGCCTCATCACCCCCTATGGTGTTTAGGAAGTGGTCTCACTTTTAACATTGTATAAATATTTCCCATAAGAACATTGCCATTTGGATTTCTTTTCCTACCAAATACTCCTTGGATTATCTGCAAACTACTCTACTTTCCCAACACAGTCTTCACATCATTTGGATGATATGGCTGAGAGGAGGGGTGTGTAGTGGGGGGAACTGAGGTCAGAGAAGGCAGGGCCTCATCTGTCCGTGTTCCAGATTCCAGGGGTGGGGGTGGGGGTTCAGTTCCAAGGCTAACACCTTGTGGGCTTTCTCTTTGCCTGGGATGGGAGCCCCTTGAGTCTGTGCTCTAGTCACTTTAGACCCTCCCAGCACCTTGAACAGTACCTCACACAGGGAGGCATTTCTATTTTTCCTGCATCTTGTTTTCTCCCCTTCAATTTCAGAGTCTATTTTTTATTTCTGTCTCTGGATCTTATATTTATATGTATTTCCTCCATCTCCTTTGAGGTATTACCTCACTTTGTAAAAGTCTCTGGTCATGCATAATGTTGAATCAAAGTTGAGAAGATCATGTAGAAGATTTCTGTTTCTTCTTTCCTTCTAGCATCCAAGAAATCCCATCCAAGAAATAAAAGTATTTTGGGGTTCTCTCTAAGCCACCATGGAAACTCTGACTTCACCTTCTTCTTTTCACACATTTCTCCCTCTTCACAGTGGACCTGTGGAGATGAGGGGAGAGAAACAAATTTAGTGTCTATGTTTGTGCCTCATAAAGACATTTTATCTGTGTGGTGCCTCATAAAAGCTTTCCCTCCTCTTATATTAAATTCCTTTAATTCTGGTCTCCATGAAACATCTGCATTCTTCCCGTTGTACCTGTTGTGAGCAGTTTCCTGACTCCACCATCCTTCTGTCTTTTCTCCCATATGGCAACATCCTCCTTCAGATGAGATGCTCACCAAAGGACACACTGCTGCACTGGAAGTGAGAATTCTTTAGGTAACAATGATTATCCCCTTTTAAATATATATTGTAAGAATGCTTTGGACTGCAAATAGCAGAATAACAACAACAAAAACCAGTGGCATAAATAATGAGGAAATTATCTCACCTTAAAACAAGACCAGAAGATAGGAAATTCCAAAGTTGCTTAATTCAGCAGCTCAAACATTTTAGGGCTCTGGGTTGGCTGCTCCGAAAGTCCTGGCCTTTCCCCTCATGATGGCAATATGACTGCCAAACCGCCAGGCAGCGTATCTTCGAATTCAAATAATCAAGCAAGAAGAAATAGAAGAGGCGTCCATGTGATTTCTCGTTTTTACCAGGGGAGAAAAATTTTCCTGGAACCACTCTAGCAGAATTCTCCTATGATTTGGAGCCAGAACTGAGTCATATGGTCACCCAGTCTACAAAGAGTAATGGAAAGGCAAATGTCTGGCTTTTTCAGCCAGGGAAAAGGGGGTTGGGAATGGCAATCAGTGGTGTCTGCCATGTAGGTATAAGCTCCTGGAAGCAGGAAAACACATGATTGGCAAGACTCAAAAGTTTAATTGTATTTATTGATTTGAGAGAAAGAGGGAAAGACAGAGAGACAAAGAGAGACAGAGAGAGACAAACATCAATTTGTTGTTCCACACTTCTTTATGTATTCATTGTCTATTTCATTTCTTTTTTTGTAGAAAAGCAAGCAAGAATTTATTGGCTGCAGCAAAAACACACTCAGGACAGTGAAACAAGGAAGGGCATAGAAGAAGCAACAGGAGAGCCTGGGCTGGGCTGTCTGAACTCACTGAGACGTCAGAGAACAGGGGGCCTTGGAGACAGGTTCAGGGGGTTAGCCCAGGGACAAGCTGCTGCTGTCCATTGCTCCCGTGGTTGTAAGTCTCGTGGGGTCCCTTGGCGTTTTGGAGGTGTGTGCCTGTGGGGGAAGGAGAGGGAGAAGGGAATGACATGGGTGTGCTCCTGAGAGGGAGAGTGTGCTGGGACCTTCGTTTTCAGGGGTTTTAAAGGCTGGGCATTTAGGGGAGGTCCTAGTGGAGGATCAGTAGAATATTCATCTGCCTTGTGCTGAAGTATCATTGGTTGTTTCTTGTATGTGCCCTGACTGGGGATTGAACCTACCACCTCGGTGTGTCAGGATGACATTCTAACCAACTGAGCTACCTGGCCAGAGTATGAATGCCAGCATTTTACAGATGATGAGTAGACTTGGATATGGATGGTGAATCAACACTGGGGGTCTGGTTGGCAAAATAAAGGACAAGGTTTACAGGGCAATACATTTCCATTGTAGTATACAAACATTTCCCCACCTGTGACTTTCCTTAAGTAAAAATCAACAAAGTTTAAAAGTGGAGGGAAAGGGAGAAAGAAAAGGAGGAGGAGAAAAAAGAATCGAACCGGTTAATCTTGACGATTCCATGAGAGCGAACAGTCCAATGTGCTGAGGAACAAGTTGGTAGTTCGTGGTGTGTGGTCCCAGGAACAGGAGCATCAACAGCCCTGAGAACTTGTTACAAATGCAAATTTTTGGCCTTAGGGTGGACTGGTGGACCGACTGAATGAGAAAGTCTGGGGCTGAGGCACATTCATGTGTTTCTCAACAAGCTTTGCAGGTGATTCAAGGATAAGATTCACTGGCCTAAGAAATGGGTTCCTCTAAAACTCCCATTGAGACTGTTTCCTTTTGAAGAGACTCTTGACCTTTTGGATCTTGGCCTGACGATTCCACATTCTACAAATCTCTAAAATGTTCATTATCCTTGGAACTTTTGGCCCCCAAGGAGGACCTCTCAAAGAGTAGGTGTGTTTCAGACATTCAGAAACTTTTTAACAACTCCCATTGCTCCTTTAGCCCCAATGGTAATCAGCTGAGTCCTGCTTCCTGAGCCCCGTCCAATAGCTTCTCCCTGAAGATACTGCCTCTTCCTCTAGGGTCACACTCCTTGTTGTGTACATGACATCTGGGCAGTGGCTAGGAAACTGAAGCTTCAGGGGAAGGACCTCCAAGAAGATGTAAGATCTGAAGCTTCTCTCTCCTTCTGGGCTGAAGGACGGTGAGAGACCAGGGTCTCCTCAGCTGTAAATAGGTCAGCTGTGAGAAGGATCTAGAAACATTTGCTGGAGGGTGGGGAGAATAAGCAAATGACATAGACGTGATGGGAGTAAGTCTGAGGTGTGAGGAGAGCCTCAGACAGTAATGCAGAGGAATGAGATGTTGAAAATTGATGCCCCAGGATGCACATGAAAACCCAGGCTTTTAATGGCCAAGTGAGAAATTGGCACTGTGATTTAGAGGGAAGATGCTGAGAGCAAAGAGTCAGAAAATACACCACAAAATTCTCCACATAGTCACTTAAAACTAGATTTCACACAGTTAGAAAAGATTTCTGAGCAGTTGCTAAATTAGGGTTGTTGTTATAGGTGCTGGGGCTACTAAGTTATTGAATTTATGGTATAGTTAAGAGAGACAACAGAAAAACAACAGCTAAATGTGATAACTGAGGTATTTACAAAATGTATTGAAACCCAGAGAAATGAGAAATTACTTTTGATTAGGAGACATAGGGAAAGGAGTACAGAGAAGGTGGTATCTGAGTACTTCGGTTGAGAAGATAATAGAAGGTATTTCAGAAAACAATTTATTACCTAAATTATGGAAAGAACCAAGCATATGAATTTCTTGAACAAAAATCAGTTCCTGGGTGACAGGGATACTGATTAGAAAGGTAGATGGAAGCTACATTTTATTGCTTTGTATGACATGCTGAGAAGGAGTTGCAATGCACATACGTAAGTTTGTTTTCTACCTTGAGTTGATCTACAAAGCATGCTAGGGGACTTCCAAGAGTTTGAGTTATAAGCTCTGGATGCTACACAATCATTAAAAGATTATAATGAGGGAGAAACTTGATCAGATATGAGTTTAGAAAGGTCTCTTTGACAGCTGTGTAGAAAATGGACTGGAGTGGAAGCAAATGGAAGCAGAAGGATGAGACTAACAGGACCTCTAGTAGACAATAGAGTGCAACAGGCCGGTGAGAGAGGACGGAGACTGAGACAAGGTGGAGGGAGTGGGAGGCCACTTAGCCCATCCCTTGTTACCCTCTATCTCTCATCTTCCATCCCCTTTTCCACCTTCGGTCCTATTCCCTCCCCCACCCCAGCATCTTTCTACTCCCTTCATTCCTTCATCTGACTTCCTCTGAATCTCCCTTCTTTATTCATTTGTCTGTGCTATTTCTCTTATTTACACATTGTTCTTTGTTTTTTACCTTGTATTTAGTAACATATTCTAAAATTCTTATTCTGTTCAGAAGAACTCTGAGTCTCCTTCATACAATTTTATCATCTATTTCTTAATCCAGAGAATCTCTCTCCCCCTTCTCTCTCTTGTCTCAGTATACACACCATGTATGTCCTGTCTTCATTGAGTAAGGGGACACCCACATCGATGAGGTATGGGGGGCACACCCTGTAGCTAGACACCCACCCAGCAGTTGACATCGAAGCTTTTTGAGTATTATTATCTCTCAGCAAGATTGAGCACAAATACATTATAAGAACCACATTTATGTCACTGGGAGCTTATAGTTGAATTAT